TAGGAAGGCTGGGCATGCCAGGTGTAGTGGGAGTGAAGCATGGAGAGCAGGAGGGAGAATGTCCTGTGCTGGAGACTGAAGCCCTCAGCTTGCCTGTGCCATGAAAACAGGGCAGCAGTGTGCAGGGAGGAGTGGCGAATGCTGCCAGGCAGACTGAGCCCTCTGGACATGGTGGAAGAGTGAACCAGAGCAGGGCCAGGCCAGGGGAGAGGTGCCAAGTGCTGAATGCTAAGGTCTCTGTAGATGCCCTGGGCCAGGTAGGAGGTTGAAGGCAATGGGCAGGCAGTGCTGGAGCCTGGGGCCTGGGCATGAGGGAAACCGGGCTGGACAGCCTGGTGGGTGCTGTCTTTGCACTCACCCGAGCTCTCCGTGCAGCGACGTTTGATCACTGACTCAGCGTTTTCCTTACTGTAAACGTGATGCACCGCCGACCGCACGCTGCAGCACTGAGCTGGAGAAGGCATGCAGGAGAGTCACTTCAGGCTGCCAGGCACTAACCACATCCTCCCCACCTGTGCCGGGTGGATGAACCTCGTGGTGGCCCTAAACTGCTGATCCTTTTCCTCCAGCCAGCATGGGTGCCTGTCATTCCTCAAGCCTTAACACCCTGCATACATCAGCTTTTGGATTACAAGGGCTGAAACTGTCATTCTGGAGGCACTGAGAGAGAGGAACGAGGCAAAAAGGGGTGAGGGACCCTGGCAGAGCTGCGTGGGGAGCCTAGGGCTTGGATAGCGGGGCAGGAGTGAGGGACACTGGTAGAACTGTGTGGGGAAGACGTGTACTGCTTCACAGCTCTGCTTCTGAGCTCACACATCACTATTGCTCTCTCTATTGAAGAAATACAGTTGATGCAGTTTGCAAGCCTGGCCATGCATTTATTTACACATTGATTTAATAGAGAAAAGCCCTTGCACTGAGCCTGAGGTTCCTGTGCAGCGACTTTGCTGCAGCAGTTTCAGTGTCTGCCTTCACCAAGCAGAGAAAGTTTTGCACCTGTCTGAGGTTTTCACTTGAGAGGAGGGGCAGCAGGTGGCTGTGTTTCTTGCACTTGGCCACCGCACTCGCCAACTGGAGCTGCTGGCGCTCAGTTCAAAATGCGATTTCTGAGCAGAGGGGAATGGAAAAAACAAATAGATATTTATATCTTGCACAGCCAGATCACACGACTTCCTGTTGACTAAACAGACCTCCTGGCCTTTGCTTTGGGCTGGATAATTGCTTTGCAATATCTTTTGATTTTTTTTTCTGTCTGATTTCTCAGACTCCTGCTGCCTGAGCCTTTGCAGACAGAGAGCGGAGGTGATTTTTTTCCCTCAGATTCCTTTCCTCTCTTGTCTCTCTTTACTGGGCTTGCACCCAGCTCCCAAGAGCCCTGATTTATACTCAGAGTCCCCTGTGGAGCTGGAGCAGTGCTCCTGAGGACAAGCACACCCTCCAGAGCACCCTCACCACCCACCCTGTTAGGTCTAAGGGACATAGAGGGGTCTCCCAGTGCATCTAGATTACCCACAAGCTGTGCAGGAACAAACTATAGATGTGGCAGGACCTGCAGTGCAAATGCCCTCTTGAGTGGAGAACAGTTGAATATGCAGTATGTGGCACCACAGACGTGTCTACGGCACCACGTACCGCACTGCTGCACTCATCTTGACACAGCCATCCTGTATATAAATAAAAATACTGAACTCATGAAAAAGGTACACTGGCTGCATCTACATGAAATGCTGACTGCGCAGTAGCCCAATGCTACTGTGTAGCAGTGTCTCGTGGCAACAACCATGATGCAACACTACCACACAGTCGTATGAAGCTACTGCACAGGAGCGCCACAAAAAAGACATTTGTCAACACTACTGTGCAGTAACTCAGATTACTGCGCAGTAAACAAGTATTAACTAACTTTGCAATTATGACTGCACAGGCATCATCTTGTGTAGACGCAGCCCCTTCTAAGTAATTCAGTATTAACAAAGGGCTTTGAAAGAAGCTTATAACTATAATTATTCTAATTTTTTTTCTTCCGTCATCATTCCACAAAGACCAAACGTCCTCTGGCCTACTCTTTGGAAGCAGAGACAGTACTTTGACTCTTTGAGGGCATCTCCCCTTCAGGGTGGATAATCTAGTTCAATTTTGTATGAAGCATGATATTTGTTCAAGCTGAAGGGAAATGTGTACTCTAAGACTCTGTCCAACCAGGAGCGTAGGCTGAGAGGCAAAAGATAAAGGTTTCGGACTGCTTTCAGGGTGGAAAATTTGAGGTAATGTTTGCTGCAAGCATTTGGCTATGAAAATTAGGAACCAGAAAAAGAATGCAACTGAGACGTCCTTAATTTACCTGATGAGCCACTGACAGTTGTGTTCTTGAGAAGCAGCAGTTTCTGTGGTATCTCTTGATATTTTTGGATTGTCCTGCAGAAGGATCCTTCTGTCTTTCTTAGCTTACATGTTAAAAGGCTGAAGGCAGGGTAGAGATGCACCCTATAGACTAAGTGAATCAGAGATGCATAAGTTTTCCTGAGCAAGAATTCACTTCATCACATGCAGGGTGCAGATGAACAGGCTAGCAAAGACAGAGAGTGATTTGAATATGAAAGAAAGGGAAAGAAAGAAGGGATGGAAAACAGAAGGCAGTTGCAGTGCTGAGAGAGGTAAACAAGTAATAAAACCATAGGGACAAAGGGCTGGATCACAAAAGCAAATCCAGGTAATGGGATAAGAATCCGTGCTCCCTGTCTAGACTTAGCACAATCCAGTCTGTGGATGGTTTCTTGTGTTGCAGTTTCATGCTCACTTATGCTTTTAAAGTTTTGCTGCATAAAAGGCAACATATGTAATGGTGACAAAGGGATCTAGGGGTATTACTGGGACAAAAAGTTTAGAAGGATTAAAATGGGCATATATTTATATACAAATATTTGGAATATTCTCAGCAATTATATTAGCTAGGGGACATTTTTATAAAATGTATAAATGCTTATGGTCTAGGACATTGATGAGACCCTAAGGGTCATCAACAGCTGTAGTTGCCATTGTCCCTAAAATCAATAGAGCTGTGACTGTTTACACCAGCCCCTAATTATGTGGCATGTGGCAGAACTCCACGGTGGGCACATTGCTTTGGATGTGTCCGCTGGGGAGATCCTTGCTCCCACCTCTGGAGCATCTGGGGCTGCCTGTTCTCAGAAGCTGGAGAATGTGCCTTACAGACTCATTGGAGAAAAGGGCCCCAGGTTTGAGCTGGTCTGACATTTTGACTGTCCCTTATCTTTTTGCATAGCCTGGTTTCATATGACACTGTCAAGCTGAAAGCCTATGAAACAAATACAGAAATGCAAACAAGCACAGACAGCTGGAGAATTCACTCCAGCATTGCAAAGAACGTTTTCCTTGCAACTCCTCCGCAGCCTCATCCCATCTTGTCCTTCCACTGAGGATGCTCCTCCATCCTCAGGCAGTGGGTAGGACTCGGGATGCTTGGTTGGGAGAGAAGGAGGAGGAAGAGGTATCATGTCAGAGAGATCTTCCAACTGGCCTCTCCACATCCTCCCTGAATTGGACTGCTGTCCAAGCCTCGGCTTCCTGTGCTGTCTCCAGGGTGAGGCACAATCCTGCCAGGTGCTGAGGCCCTTCTGGGGGAAGTGGACATGGCTGGGGACTCGAGGCTATAAGACATCAACGCGGGCAACTCTGGTTGCAAAGCACAGAGTGGATATGTATGGTGCCAGGGCCGTGATTCCAAACAAGCAGAGCGGTCAACAGACTCATCCACCATCTTCCTGAGATATGGCATTGAGGCTTTTGGCCCTGACCCTGCCCTGAATAGCCTGCAAGCAGATGTCTCCTCCAGCTGTGGTGTATGCACACACTGTAAACAAACGGACTGGGACCTTAGCCAGGAGAGATCCCTTGGGCTTTTTTGCATAAAGCTGTGTAATTTTGAGTCTTATTATTTATCTTTCATATTTACACTGTTCCCACGAGCATCACATCGAGGTGTCATGCTGCAGAGTAAACTCCATCACTGCAGACTGTGCTTTGCCTCACAGAAAGCACGGATGCACAAGCAGGTTAAGGGAAAGCAGAAACCTATCACGTCTGCAACCTGCCTGCTCTGACTCTGCACCAGGTGTGAAGCAGCTTGCCCCCTTTTCATTGAGGGGCTTCAATCTCGCTTTTACCATGAGGAAAACCTAGGAACATGCCCAGTTACTGCACAGTTGCTAACACACTGCATATTCAAACCCTAGATTACCTTATGGGAACTTTTTCATGTCCCTTACTCTAAATCTCTGCTGCATCCTACTTTGGAGACAGCTCCTGTGCTTAACTGTAATACCACTGCGTGTTGTGACCCAGTGGTATGTCCCACCCCAGAGGCAACTGCTTCTCAGCATCTGGGAAGCAAATTCTACCTTTGGTCTGAAAAGCCCTTCATGCTCCTTTTTGGGAGCAGGGGGAACGCAGAGGAGAACAATGCAGATCAGGAACTAGTTGGGAACCAGTTGCCTCTGTTCTTTCCATGAAAGTTTTCAGATGCCAGTGAATGACACTCTATGATGCATCCCCCACCATCCCCACGAGGTGGGTCAGTGTCATTGCACAGATGGGTAAACTGAGGCACAGAGAGTTTATGTGGTTTTGTTCAAGGTTACACAGTGAGTCTATGGCTGACTGCCTCCCGGTCCTCTCTAACCACTAGACGATGCTTTCTGACTTGTTATATTATTAATATCAACTTATTGTGGTCTCTCAGAGGTGGCAGGGGACCAATGATCAGCACACTGTGGGGAAGCAGCCAATCAGGGTTCAGCATCTTTTAGAACTGATGCCCCTTTAAATTTTAACTCTTTCCTCACCCATTCCTGTGGTCTTGAAGACTGCTAGCTCCTCCCCTACCCAAACCAGGCTGAACCTGGGGGGAGATGCTGTGTGGGGGTGGCAAATGAGGGAGGGACACCCAGGGCAGCTCTCACTTCTGTGCGCCAAGTCACAGAACTGTTCAGACGAAACAAGTGAGCAGGGTCACTCCACCATCCTCCCCGGGTCCCCCCGCCACCCTGAGAGAGACCCCCGGCAGCCATGGACAGGTAAAAAACAGTGCTCCAACCTCTTGCTCATAGCAGAACTCAGGACTTTTCCCTCTGCACTAAAATCTGCCTTGTGCAGCTGCCCGCCCGCTCTCCCTCTCTTCATCTGACTCAGGCCCCTGCTCCCCACACCCTCTGTCTGTCTTACCCTCATTCCTCCGTCTCTGGGTCTCTGTCATTCTTTCTCTCTCTGACTGTCCCTCATGACGTGTTTATCTCTCTCTCTTTCTATCATTTCTCCAAACTCTCTGTCTACCCTGTTCTGTTGCTTTCTCATATTCTCCTACAAAACTCAGACAGACAGAGAGAAAGAAACAGAAGGTGGCAAAGATTCAGGGAAGGATCTTAGGCACCTGCTGTCTACCACTCAAGCATCTCAGCCCCTGTCCCTCTGGTCCCTCTCTCTCTCCACCTGCTCTGTCTCCTGCTTTTGAGTTCAGTCCCTATGCTGGTGCCCAGGCACATGCCACCCCAGACTCCCATAGCCCTCTATGCCCTACCCATTTTCAACTAAAAATATTCCTTTCTACCTTGGAGCTCACATCAGCTCTTTCCGGATTCTCTCTTGCCTTGATTTCTCAGGGGATTCTGCCAGAGGAAAGGGTTCAAAATATGCATGGAGGTGACCCAGGTAACCCTGGCAGTAACTAAGAGGTTAAAGCCAGGGAGCAAGTTCCCACTAGATGTGGGCATCTCTTAGGATTACTGTCAACTGAGCAGGGTTCAGCAAGGGCAGGGGAGTTCTCCTTGGTCATTAAAGAGCACCCATGCACCAAAGGTTTGAAGCAAACTGTATGCACCTGTGTGGAGGAATGCCATGCTAGGGCACCAAAGTAAGTAGCTGCTGTATTTGGGGGCAGAATTGTTATAAGGAGAAATAAGATGAAACAGGGGAGGAAAAAAGAAAGGGGGAAACAAAAAGGAAACAATTTGAAAGGGAAAATTTTTACAGAAAGATTCACACACACAAATCAAGTGAAAAAAGACTCTCCTTCCTTTTCAAAACCTGCAGAACTGAAAATTTTCAGGTTCTCTATACAGGGCTTTTTTCACAAATTGTTCATGTTTTTCATGATTTTTCACATTTGTTTATAATTTCCTTTTTTTTTTTCATAAAATGTTCCCATTGCCCATGGTTTTTCACAATATTGTTCACAAAGATTTTTTTGTAATCCACTCAGCTCCTGTGTTCTTCCCTTTGCAATTCAGCATCATAGTCAGGGGTGGGCAAATGGGGTACCAGCCCTGGGTGCACACTTAGAGGGGTATAAGAACAGCAGCTGCTGCCACTGCCACAACCAACCCAGCCCCTACCACCCTGGTAGTTATGTCCCTGTTAAGACTGACCTCAGCTAAGACCTCAGTACTATGTCCTGAATGTTATACCTCCCCCTTCACAGGTAACAGCAAAGGTTATACTCCTTGGGCACCGGAGCATCAGTCACACAGGAGGCAGGGTAGAAGGGGCATCCCCTCGCTGCCTCCTTCTCGTATTAAGGGGAAAAATTCCACACACACGCACATATACACCCCCCCTGTGGTAACCCGCAGCTGAAACTGAAAAATCCTGAAATGAGCCATGGGTCATTTAATTAGTGTTTTGTAATCTAGAGCTAGAACATCTGTGTGTGCGTGCGTGTGTGAGTGCGTGTGCGCATTCCAGGGAGAGCTGGAGGACAAATGTGAGCAACCCCAGTGAAAGAGAAACAAGTAGGAAAGAAAGCAAGAGTGATAAGAAAGGGGAGGTGAGGGAAGAGAGAACGGGACAGGCGAACAAGTGGGAATCAAAAAGTAGGGTACAGCAGAGACAGAGAAGGGGCCACGTAAGGGTAGATGGACCTTGTTAATTGAGCAGTGTTGGCTTGGGGCGGTGCCTACCTAGGGAACCCCCAAGAACCTCCCTGCTGGTGCTGGGATTGATGTCATGTGTTCAGTCGCTTAGGTCTTTCCTTTGGCTGAGTGCTGGCTGCAATGGCCCAGGGTGGTGCTAGCGGGTGCTGTGCTGCAGGGGGTGGGTGGTTTAGGCAGGGCTTCTTGCTAGGAGGTGCTGCACTAAAGGGAGTGGGGTGGGTGATATGATAGAATGTGATATTGTTTATGATACCGAGTATCTAATAAAAGATATCACATCTACTCAAAGAAACTTGCCTGCCTATGTCCTCAGAGCGATGCGGCTACAACCACAAACCCAGTAATATGATAGAAGGCACTCTCCCCTGAGTCAGTGCTGACTGCAGTGCCTCAGGCTGGTGCTAGGAGGTGCTGTGCTACAGGGGAGGATGGCATGGGCAGAGTGGCTCAGTTGCTCTCTGAGTAGAAACAGATGTCTCCTGAAATCTTATTTGTGTCACCATAAAATTTTTTATGGATGCACAAATGCTGAGCAAATGGGTGTCGATACCCTTGGTCACACTGCATGGAAGGAAAATTAGTGGCACCACAAAAGCTAGTATTAGACTCTGCTGCTTTATTGCAGTGGATGCCTGTTAACTTTGTGGAGGAAAAGTACAAGAAACCAGAGCTGCTCTCACCCTCCTGCCACCCTGGGCACATGCTCTAGGGGCCTGAGGGAATCTCAGTGTGCCTCTCCATAAGCAGGGAAGCCGGGGTTACCTGTTTAGCCAGACCCACTCCCCCTCGATCATGGGACAGCAGGTCCAACTGGGCAGGGAACAGCCCGTCTTTCCATACTCAGTCACACCTGTCCCCAGTGATCCTGGGGGACAAATCTTGCTGAACAGGGAAATTGGGGAGATCACATCTCCTCTTATCCTGCACTATCAAGGGTGGGGCAGAGAAGATATGTGTTTGGCCCCATGAAGCAGATCAGCAGATCAGCTGTGCCATGATACATTGTGACAGCACTGATCCACTTCATTTGGAGACATCTATTTCTAGCCTCTGGGTCCAAACTAATGCCCTGGAAGAGGAAGAAACAACTCCACTTGCAGCTAGCAATAATTAGGTCTTATCTATATCTAAACTGAATAACACAATGCATTCAGTGCTTTACACGTGGCTATGAGTTTAAGGATATAAAGCAGAAACTGGGATACATGAGCATGTGTGCATGTTCTACCTGTAATGTATGGTAGTATCTTGCATGTCAGGCTGAAAACTGTTTGGGAAGAAAAAAGGTCGTGTGTGAGAAAGAGTTGCATGAGTCTGTGAAACAGGGTGTGCCCAGGGAAGGATGGATTTTTGTGTCAGTATGCACAGGGGTGGCACTGCTGTGTTAGGCAGGAAGCATGACGGGGTGAAGGCAGGTACGCTGCATGCAATAGAAGGGGATGTGCCTGTGCATGCACTGACATTTGCAATGGAGGGGTGAGGACTGTGAGAAGGTGTGAGGGTGTGCAAACGAGTATGTACAGCATGGTTGTTCCCTGTGTGTGTGATGGGCAGGAATGCTTGGATGTGCTGGCAGAAAGGGATTGTCATTTTGATTTCAAACGTAGAGGAGATGCTCAGAGATTTGGGTTCAGCGGGCAAAAAAAGTGCATGCATGCATGTGTGTGTGTAATGGTGGGATCTGTCCTTGTTGCAGAGACTCAAACTGGCTTCAGGCAGAGAGCCCCCACTCCAACACAGTGAACAATAGACACCGGAGCTGAACCGCCCTCTCCTAGATTTTGTCCCCACCCACTGCTCTCTTAGTGTCCCAAGCCCAGAAGCAGATGAACCTGCATGGGCCCCTTTTAGAGGAAGGAGATGACAGGCCAGGATTATTTTTAACCCATTCACTTCTGTTTTGCATTGCTGTGGGAGAGGCAGACATCTCACCACAGCAAGCACAGCTGTGTAGAGCTGCTGCTGCTGCTGCACCCCCACATGGGGCTTTGACTTCCTCCTCTTCCTGGGGTGTCCTCACAGTGGGGCCTACCCAGGGCAGGGGAACCCTGCAGGTAGAGGCATCTTCAGGCATTAGGTCCCAAAACAGTCTCCCCACACTCAGTGGGCTATCCCAGGGGATCTAATGGGAGGGCTTTAGCCTGAGTGCTACTACTCCCACTCTACCTTTCCTGGATGCTTCATGCCACAATATCTGCTTTTCCACTGGGTGCATCAGGGTGTGGCTAGCATTAGCTGTGTCCAGGTCTAGTTTGGATGGATGGAGTCACACAGTTTAGAAACATCTTTGCATTCGTGGACCCAGATTCCCCAGGCTCTGAGATACATCCCCATTTATTCCCCGCTTTGCAGGTCCCTCCTTTCCTGCCCACGCCCTCTGGACACATGCAGGCTGTTTCAGATCCCTGCCCTCCCCCTCTTAGTTTCTGTTTGACTGAATTCTACACACTGAATTATTTCCATTTCCCCTCAAAATGACACCCCTCCCTGCCCCTCACTTCCATCTCTGGACCAAGTGCAGGTCAGGACAGCATTGGGGCACAGCAGGGCCTCAGAACAAAGGTGCAGGGAGCAGAAGCGCAGTCCTGCCAGGGCACTGGACAGGGGTACAGTGATCTCCTGCTCCAGGATGTGCTGGTATGGTTCATCTTCCTTCCACCCCCACAGCCTCCTGATGAAGCAGAAGAAATTTCTTTATAACTTCAGGAACCTGCGCCGGGCCAAGGGCCGGCACGAGACCTATCTGTGCTATGTGGTGAAGCGCCGGGACAGTGCCACCTCCTGTTCTCTGGACTTTGGCTACCTGCGCAACAAGGTGGGCACTGGTCTGTCCAGATTACCCACCCCATTTGTCTGCCATCCACAGTCCTCTCTTGGCCCACTGCCACCCCCTGCCCCAATGCACCAGCTCACCTTTGTACCTCTCTGTCTCCGTACCCCACCAAGCATGCCTCCCCTGCTGCCCTTCTTGCTGCCCTCCCACCCGGTATCCCTCAGTGCACTCCTCCAACCTGGGGTTGATGAGAGAGTGGTGAAGCCATTTCACTCCTTCTCACCCAGGGGTATGAGCTTGAACCCGATGCTGCCCTTATGCCAAAGGTTTCATAGTTTCATAGTTTCATAGATTTAGGGTTGGAAGGGACCTAGTAGATCTTCTAGCCCGAACCCCCGCCAGGGCGGGAGAACAACAAAACCCCAAAACAAGAAACGGGACTCAAATGAGTCCAGCCAGGTAGGCATCCAGCCTCTTCTTAAAGACCCCCAGGGTAGGGGCCAGCACCACTTCCCTTGGAAGTTGGTTCCAGCTCCTAGCCGCCCTAACTGTGAAGTAGTTTTTGCGGATGTCCAATCTATACCTCCTCTCCATCAACTTGTGCCCATTACTCCTTGTTATGCCAGCGGGCGCTAGGGGAAACAGCGTCTCCCCCAAACCCTTCTGGTCCCCCCTAGTGAGTTTATAGACTGTCACCAGGTCCCCCCTCAGCCTTCTCTTGTGGAGGCTGAATAGGTTCAGGTCCCGCAGTCTCTCACTGTAGGGTCTGCCCTGTTGTCCCCGGATCATGCGGGTGGCCCTCCTCTGGACCCTCTCCATGTTGTCCACATCCCTCTTGAAATGGGGCGCACAGAACTGGACACAATACTCCAGCTGTGGCCTGACCAGCGTCGCGTAGAGGGGGAGGATCACCTCCTTGGCTCTACTCGAGATGCACCTGTGGATGCACGACAAGGTCCGGTTAGCCCTGCCAACCATGACCTCGCATTGTCGGCCCATGTTCATCTTGGAGTCAATAATGACTCCAAGATCTCTTTCTGCCTCCGTGCTCTCAAGTAGGGAGTTCCCCATTGTGTAAGTGTGCTGCTGGTTCCTACTGCCCAAGTGCAGCACCCTGCACTTGTCCGTGTTAAAACGCATCCTGTTCCTGTTAGCCCACCCCTGTAACCTATCCAGATCCCTCTGCAATCTCTCACTCCCTGCTAGCGTGCTCACCTCCCCCCAAATTTTGGTGTCATCGGCGAATTTAAACAGGTTACTTTCCTTGTCCTTACTCCACCCAGCATGGGGAGTCAGAGGCAGCTGGAGAGGATGGTGGCAACATCACCCCTGTGTATGCATATGGATCTAGAAATGTGCCCATTAACCATGCTAGGCTGAGGGTCTGTGAGGCTTAGGAGGACCTGTGACCTGTGTGACTTCTGTGTGACACTAGTCTGTGCCCCTGGCAGTCCCTATCTGTGCTCTTTCATGCCCAGCAGTCCCTTTTCCCCTCTGGTTTCTGCCCACCCTGCCTCACTGTGCCTCACTCTCTGTCTCTCTGCCCCAGTCGGGCTGCCATGTGGAGATGCTCTTCCTGCGCTATATCTCTGCCTGGGACCTGGATCCAGGGCGTTGCTACAGGGTCACTTGGTTTACCTCATGGAGCCCCTGCTATGACTGCGCCAGGCATGTGGTTGACTTCCTGCGGGCCTACCCCAACCTGACACTACGCATCTTTGTTGCACGCCTGTACTTCTGCGAGGGACGTAATGCTGAGCCAGAGGGGCTGCGGCGTCTGCACCGTGCCGGGGCCCACATTGCCATCATGACCTTCAAAGGTGGGATGGACAGGTGGGGAGAAGGGAGCTGAGAAGGGGGGAGAAGCATGGGGTGAGATGGGAGAGGGGCTGTAGGGATCCCTGGGGAAGCCAGGTCCTGCCCAAGGTGGCCCTGACCCTGGTATTTGTGCTTTCTGCCCTGGGCAGATTACTTCTACTGCTGGAATACCTTTGTGGAGAACCGGGAAAGGACATTCAAGGCCTGGGAGGGGCTGCACGAGAACTCTGTCCATCTCACCAGGAAGCTAAGACGGATCCTCTTGGTAAGGGTCATTCCTCCACCTCCTGCCCTTCCCCACCACCAGCTTTCCTGCTCTCTCCTCTCCCCCACCATTTCTTCTTTGCTGCCTGTTCTCCATTTTTCCCCTTTGTCTCTCCTATACATGCTCTCCCCACCCCCTCACTTCTTCACTCCCTTTTCACTTCCTTTGCCCTGACCACACACCTCTCTCCTCCTAGACTCATTAGTGCCCTTCTCTCCCCCTTCTTATGCCTGTCTGCCTGTGTGAGATCTCCACCCCACAAAGCTAACCTGTCTCTCCTCCCCTCCCTGTGCAGCCCCTATACGAAGTAGATGACTTACGAGACGCCTTCAGGACCCTGGGACTCTGAAGTGGGCAGAAGCAGAAATCACAAACAAGCTGAAGACTCTGAAAATCCTGGTCCTACAGTTGCTCTCTCTTTCTGTCCCTCTCACTTTTTCTCCTCTTCTCTTCTTCAGCCTTGAGTCCTTGTGTCCTGAGATAAGGCCACCTCTCTAATGGCAGATGGCCCCTATCCATTCCCTGGTCAGCACATCCACCTGCTGATTCCTGGGAAAGATCAGGGTTGGTAGGAAATCCCCACCACAACCTGCCCTGCCTCAATCCTTCCGGGCTGTGGCTTCACTGCAGTTTCCCAGGGCCTGGCACCCAGATCTGAGCACCCTGGCTGGGCACACAGGGGATGAGCAGCCACAGTGCAAAGTGCCCCCCAGTTGATGGAGGTCTCATGGCTGCTGCGCCCACTGCCTGTGGCACTATGCACTCTGTGAGTATGTCTCATGGCTTTTAGCACTGCACTAAACTGACATACCCGGAGACACCTTCCCTGGGAATTGTGAATGTACTGATTTATCCCTGAGCGCATTTTTACAACCCTCTCAGCAGCCAGATATTGGCCACCATTGTCTGTCTGCCTTATCCGTGGCAGATTAGGGTGTTATACCTTGTGGTGGTGCCAGGATTGAGTATTTAATTTTACTAGTCAGTTGGACACTGGATTTGTATAGGGTGGTTTGGATAGGGGTGATCCTGCCTTTGGCAGGGCTTGCATTTGATGATCTCTGAAGGTCCCATCCAGCCCTACTTCTTCGTGATTCTGCGATCCTTCTGCAACTAGGTGGGGGGATTGTGGGCAGACATGGGAGGACTCTCAGCATTCAGGTTGTTTATCTGTGTCCTCACAGAAAAGTGCACAGTAATCTTTTACCAGAGCAAGCTGTGAGCACCACTGAGCTTGACTTCAAGAGCTCTGTGAGTGGGCAGGCAGGGAGCAGGGGTAACATAAGAGCAAGAGCTCAGTGTAACTCTGCGGTGAAGACAGATACCCATCTTGTGTCCCTACAGCACCTCCTGCTGGCAGACAGCATCACTGCACTATGTGGGATGTGGCCAGGAAGCCAGCTGCCCTGCACTGCTTCCTATTCTACCTCTTGGGCTGAAAGGTTGGGGCTACAGTAGCTGTGAGCTTCCCACTGCTGTCCCAGTCTCCTTGTATGAGGAAAGTCAAGATCTGAGGAGAAAATTCTTGAAAGAGGAAGAAGTTTTCCAAGTATGAGCATTAATTTGGGGTGGCCAACTAGAGACAACAGACAAAGGTGCTGAGCATGCAACACTCCTCTTGACTCTACCTGGAGCTGCACGTGCTCAGCAGCGAAGCTGACCAGGGCCTGGTCTTCTTGACCTGGGTAGTGAAAAACAGTGACACTGCATTAGCACAGTCTTTTTGAAAAGGTTGGCCTACAGTGTTCCCATTTCCTCTGTGCTCCCTGAACTGGGGCCCCACGGTCTGAACCTCTTCACAAGCTGTCCAGTCTGAAAGGTAACACCCTGCACATCAGTCCTTTCACTCCCTTGCTTTCCCAAAGCTGGGGGCCCTGCAGGAAGTGCTACTGCAGGGTCTGAGACTGGATGCAGCTAGAAGCCTGCAGCCCTTCAAGTTGCACCTCCTGATGGGAGAAGCCAGACCCGGAGAGCTCCCCTCCCACCCAGGTTCCAGCACCCAGCAGAGGTTGGGTGTGGATCAATCTCAACCTAGCCAGCACACCTGAATGTTCCTGATGGTATCACCCCCTGGGTGACATTGGGACAGGAAGAGCTGGGACGGTTCTCTGCAAAGCATTAACTGGACTGCACAGTGCTGTATATTGGCTTGATATGATGGATGTTATTTATAGATCAATAAAGATCCTGTGTCTTAGTCTTAGCTTTTGTGATCGATTTCCAAGGTGGGCCACATGTGGGCTGGTAGGATAGAGGGGAAGACTGGGTCATCATCTAGACATTAATGTCATATCCTGGACCCCCTGCTCATTTCAGGCCAATCCAATGCCATCCTCCAACATGTTTTGTCTAAGGGTTTGCAGTGTCTTCATTTAAACCCACTGGTTCAAACAGTTGGATGATTTATACTCCGGTGAGCATTACTGCAGAGAGAGAAAGAGAAGAATAATGAGGATATGTTCAGGGCATCTTACCCACATGCCACAAACTCCACACAGGAGGGTGAACCCCAGTACTCACAAAGTGCAGATTAGGACAATGAGGCATTGACCTGCCTTGAACTGGGGTACAGTGGAATAGCAGCATTGAGGAGAGATTTTTAAAAATTTTTTGGAAATTTTGTCTGTTCCAGGTCAAATTAGTCAGATCAGTTCCAAATCCTTTTGACTAAGCAAACTGCAATTGTTCAAACACCATATGTGGCGCTGCAACCAGCAAGTATCCTCTACCCCAGACTTTTAAGCCTGGGGCTTCAGATACTTCCAAATCCTTTAATGGGCATCCTACATGCAGGCCCAAGCCCAGAGGCTTGGGGCTTGAATGCTCCCAAGTTTCACTTGCCCTTAGCCAATGGCCGCAGGAACAAGCTAGGGAGGAGTCCCTCATTTCCATAAAGTAGGCATATAACCAAGATCCTCCCACTGGAAGCTGGCAAGTGGGAAGCTAATTACAAGGGTATCATAGGGAGTCAAGTCCGCTTTTGAACAGGGGTGCACCCTCTGCTACACACTGCCATTTAAATCCATTTCAGCTTGAGTATCAGACTAGTGCAGCAATTACACTTGATCTTAGCTCATAGGAGGCAGAGAAGCGAGAGGAACCAACCTTAAGAATAGATTAAGCATTGAGGAGAGATCCCACAGCTGTCTATGGGCTGACGCACAGCCAGGGCCTAACCCAGTAGGCAACACTGGGGTGGGGCATACATGATACACCTATCAACCAAATGTTACACACAGCACTCTCTGGAAGAACTAGAGAATGGGCTTGTGATGGGAGTATCACTAATCAGAGCCTTTCCAGGAGTGGCTCCGCCCTCCTGTAATGGGC